CCTAAAAGTTGCCAGGGTTGGAGAATATAGTTCTAGTCCAGTATTTCTCAGCCTCAGCTATTTTAAGATGTGTGGACTTCAACTCCTAGAATCCCCCAGTTAGAATGGCCGGCTGGGGAATTCTGGGAGTTGAAGTCCAGGCATCTGTAAGCGCCTCAAGTTGAAAAACGGTGAGGTAGATTTTATTCAACCATGGTTGTACTGGTGCAAAAGTGCAGCTAGTCCTCAACATATGACCACAATGGAGCCCAAAATTTCTGTTGCTAAGCGAGACAGTCGCTAAGTGAGTTTTGCCCCATTTTATGACCTTTCTTGCCACGGTTGTTAAGTAAACCACTGGAATGGTTAACTTAGTAACATGGCTGTGAAGTGAATCTGGATTTCCCATTGACTTGGCTTGTCAGAAGGTTGCAGAAGGTGATCACACAACGGTCATACTAGTCAGTTACCAAGTGTCTGAATGTAGATCATGTGATGCTGCAATGGTCATAAGTGTGAAAAACAGTCATAGGTCACTTTTTTCAGAACTGCCTGAGGGAGGCACCAGAAGAGACTATAAGTGACAAGGCAGTGACAAATGACAAGGCTTGAGATACCATCAAACTGATAACAGATAACCAGAATTGGAAGGGCCCTTGTAGGTCATCTAGTCCAACCCCCAGCCCAAGCGGGAGACCCTACACCATTTCTGACAGATGGGAGTCTAGTTTCTTCTTGGAAGCTTCCAGTGATGAAGCTCCCACAACTTCCAAAGGCAAGCTGTCCCATTGGTTGATTGTTCTCACTGTCAGAAAGTTTCTCCTTATTTCCGGGTTTAATCTCTCCTTGTTCAGTTTCCATCCATTATTCCTTGTATGGCCTACAGGCGCTTTAGAAAATAGCTTGACCTCCTCCTCCTCTCTGTGGCAGCCCCTCAAATATTGGAAGACCTCTATCATGTCTCCCCTGGTCCTTCTCTTTACTAGACTAGCCATGCCCAGTTCCTGTAACCGTTCTTCATATGTTTTAGTCTCCAGTCCCCTCATCGTCCTGGTTGCTCTTTTTTGTACTTTTTCTAGAGTCTCAACATCTTTTTTATAATGTGGTGACCAAAACTGGATGCAGTAGTCTAGGTGTGGTCTTACTAAGGCTTTATAGAGTAGTATTAGTACCTCCCTTGATCTTGAACTGCAGAGAGATTTCTCTGTTGTGTTCTTCCAGGAAGTTATATCCAGTATTTATGATGATAAAAATTCTAAACGTTAGTGGAAAAAAAGTCTGAGAGGCCAAATGAACAAAAGAAGTAAGCTCAAAGATTTCCAGAGCAGGATTGAATCTTTTTTTTTTAAATGTCAGATTCATGCTTATTTATTCTTTTGCATAGAGCAAAATACAGATAGTCCTGTTTATGACCAGAAGTGTAAGGCCTGAACTTCGCCTGTTAAGCAAAGCGGTCACAAAATGAGTCACATCCAATATTACTTTGCTAGTGGAGTGAAGAAGCAATGGGGGGGGGGGGGG